GATGAATCTGTTTTCATACATACAAACAGAAGATAGCTGTAGAGAAAAAGCCAGGTCAGAACCTTTCCTAAGTGTAAGTGCATGAGCCTCCGCCATGTCCACCGAAGAAAGAGTCATTTTCTTTTCTTTATCGCCGAGCGTCTTTCGAGTCTCATGTTGACTTTTCTCTTTCATGTGATACTTCGCCTTAAGAACTAGGGCGGAGCCCATACAACTATTATTGTTTTAACACTACTCTGCGGGAGATTGGTATTAAACCGAAAGCCTAACCTGGACTACTAACGGCTTCTTCTCTTGTTAGAGGAAGCCCTGGTTCAAAGTCTTCTTTATGTTACACGTAGCAACTCTTCTTGTTCAATCCTTTAATCGGAACGACGAGAGAGTGACTAAGCCGAAAAGGCCAATAGCATTTTCTCTAGCAAGTGTATTCAAAATACCACTATATGAGAATGAGATAAAGCCTCAGCTTTTTTCGCCGTTTGTTTACACCTTCCTTTTGAACTCAGCTTTCACGTCTTTAATCCTCGATTGAGCTAGTCACTGGCGAACGCTTCCAAAAGAGACCTACCTCTACTCTAAACAAGAGCCTTCGGGTATCAGACTAGCTTAAAAACGTAGTACGTAAGGATATAGTTCCTTTCCTCAAAACCAGTCATCCGAGTGGGGCCCTGCGACAGGTGCCATATTTAGGTTGCTTGCGACTGAGACTTTTAGGGATTATTTCCATCTTCCCTTAATTAAGGGATTTAGATAACATCCGGTCGGGAAAGAGCCACTACTTGGTTCAATAATTAATTGAAGGAAAATTATATCCCTCTTCGACATCAGATTCTTATCCTCTTTTCCGGGGGAAATGATGTTTTATTCTCTACGGCCCAAGGAAAAAAGTGGTCTGCTTTATTGAATCTTATTTCAACAAGGGGTGTCGCTTTCGTTTTCAATAAGGACGTTTAGTAGGAGGTACTTGCCCTTAGAACCATAAACATTTGCGAGTCGCCTTTTTACATGAAAGGTGGGTAGGGACTGCCAAAGAGCTCGAGTAGATTCATGAATGTCCTGGAATTTCAGTATGGGCTTAACAGGTCGAGAGAGTCTTATGCCGCGCAATCTCTTGCCGAATCTATTTATACTATGTTAAATCCATAACCCGAGAACACACATTTGCGAATCCGGCCCTCTTTCGTTCGTCGTGATTGCTTTGATTGCTCTGAAAACACCCCCTCTCACTCAGGGGTAGCGATCAGATCTTCCTGCTTCAGCGGTTACGAATGGCGATTCTTACCACAAAATTAGACATTCCACTTTGAATGCTGTTTTCTTTCGCTTTGTTTTGGCTTCCATCCCTGAGCTTTAGCCCTTGCTTTCTTACGAAGAAGAGGCTTTCTCAGATCATATGGGGGAATAAGACTCAACAACCGGTCGTTCAAGTTCAAGAAGCAAACCTAGGAAAAGGGAAAAGTAAAAGACTTGGAGAAAGAAATAAACTTGGAATTTTGGCATAGAAGAAGAATTCATCCATATAAGAAACAAAGAAAAAGATTTCGTGGGGGTGGCGCTGGAGTCAGATCAATCCGACGCGGGATCTATAGGCTCCGAATATCCAGTTTAGGATCCCCTTCTATAACGGGACTGGAACGGGCGAAGCCATTGGATTGATTAGCCCAATTGGGCGAACAGGAATGTGGTCGTCTAGATCGTACCTGCGGAAAGATTAGGTGGACCCCTATACATTCATGGATTAGACCGAAACCAATCGAAGCGATCGAGCTACCCGCATTTGAGTTTTGCTTTATCAAGCAGGGGCTTAGCCGCTTCTTTCTATTATTTCTTATATTTCTGGCAGCATTGGGAAAAAAAGAGACAAAACGTCGAATGTTTTTCCTATTTATGTATTTGGAAAGTCTATACTTAACACACCGACTCAATTGGAAGCTGACTCCTCACAGGGTTCGAAAGTGAAGGTTTCAATCATATTTCTAACACTGAAAAAGGCATAACATTGATTTACACTCGATAACTAAAATCAAAATTGGCAAATTCTTCATTTAATGATTCACCTACGCGTGATACTGATCTTAGCATACCAAGGGGCTGACCTGAACTAATGTCCTATACGAGACGAAGGCTAGGGATGAAATGGCAAGTGCCGCATCTCCTTCCACAGCGGATGATTCATATCTATCTCTATCTTCAGACTTGGGCAAAACTAAACTTCTATGCGATGAAACAAAGGAACAACATTCATTCCCTAAAGAAAAAGAAAACCATTACCAGAAAATGCAAATTTCACAACCGAGATCGCAAGCATGGATCAAAGACGGAATCTCCTCAAAAAGAAGCGCTATCGATACAAAATGCTATAACGATTCACTAATGGAAGTCTTTCGATGATCCAGCTACTCAGACTGGACTCCTTTACTTAGTGGGTAGGAATGAAAGATCGAGTTAGTTATTCACAGAGCTACCACTACTTGAGCTTACACCCGGACTCTTACTGTAGTCTCATTTCCAGTATCCTATAAAAGAGAAATACAAGTCCGTTTTTATATTCCTTATAGCACGGGTATAGATTACCTCACGGAATGAACTTATTAAGTTATATTAATACCAGAATCGGGTGTTCAAGTCATTACCATTCAAGTCTCAAGCTTCCGGCAACCACTTATCCCAAGGTAGGTGGGAAATTCATTCCGGATGGAGCAAGAATATTCAATTTAGATTATATATTTATAGGCTTCGGCGTATGTAGATTCGGCAAATGTTTCCACATCTCGGATCCTGGGTTCACACTCTAGGAGTCCTTTTCTTCGGGAAGTGACGGATCAATCTTTCATTGAAGAGAGGAATTGGCACATTAGAATCAAAGATGAGCCGGCTTCCTTATTATTTTCTCACTGGCATTGTAAATGACTGGAAATGGCAGGGCAAAGACGAGTAGGGGCGGATGAAGATAAAGAAAGAGAATCCGCGGACATAAATAAGGAATAGCCCGCCAAAGGGAAAGCGCAAAGGTCTTCAAGTCAAAAGAGACAAGGGCTCCCCTATCAGCGACTCAAGCATTCAATGTCATATTTTTGCTCATTGAAAGGTTTATTCAAAGCTCCCATTCTCATCTCCCTTAGGCCGCTATTGCCTCATTTGTCTTGATAGATATTTAGAAGCCTAGTAAATAAAGCATAATAAAAAACATTTTTTTCTGGGTAGTCGACCTCCGGCCTGCCTTGTAATCGATAAGAAAGACCATTACTGCCATCTCGGGGAAAGATTCAAGAGTCGAAGACGAACCGGGTTACCAAAGTCACGATCAGAAAGGTTGAAATCTGGGTCATGCATCTGGAAAGCGCTGGTTCGAGCCCAGCTCGTGACAAGACGATACTGACGAATGAGTAGACGGAAGAATGAATCAGATGAGCTCCAGTTTGGTCAAACAGGCGCAACGGGCCAAGAAATAATAAAAGGACACCAGAAGACCGAGAGGCACGAGCTGGCTTAACCCATTCCCTTACCACCAAGCCCGGATAAGCAGCATCTGAAAAAGGAAAGTCGAATTACTTTACCTTTACAGAAAGAGAGCTCGTGAAAGATTTTAAATTGAATTGAAATATCTGTTAATTTCTTTTTCAATTGATTCCTAACAGGATTGGCAAATCTCACTGTGTGTAACACATCTACTTGGAAGTGGAATTAAGATAATGCGCTTTACTCTTTCATTTGTAGCTGGATTAGCCCGGCTAACTTGAATCTGTTCTGTTTAGTTTTTCACTAAGCCTCATCTGAGTGCTATATACATAGCTCCTTTCTTTCTTATCAAATAAAATTAACATTCTTTAATCACTTTCTCTCCCCGATCTTATTAGCTTAGTAGCAGCAGTGGAAGTCACAGTAGTTGTAGCTGAGTAAGCTAGAGCCAGAAGCTTTCCACCTACTACCATCTTGCTTAGATGGAGAGCCAGTTCTCGTCATCCATTTATATGTATATGTGCGCCACCTTGCCTAGCATCTCTTACAGTTCGTATAGCAGCATACCTTCAATTTCCAGATCCAGAGCATCCAATTTCAATTCGGATAACCATTTACAGTTCCATTTCGTGAGCCATAGCCCGTAGATAAAGAAAGGGGGCTGGCTGTTCCTTAGGATGGGTTGGGAATTAATATATATAGGATATAGGGATCGGGGAGGAGATTGTTAAGGTGGTTGAGTTACCCATAGTGGCTTTCGGTCAATCATGGTGCGAAGCGAAACAAATTCCTTTCCGTGCCGGTCAGCTAGGCCCACTAAGGCTAAGTGATAGAGTAAGGAAGAAAGAACTCATATCGTAGTCAGTTAAGCGAGAGTGACTTTCGGTTACGGGAAGCAGCACAAACGAAGTACTCTCGTGAAGAGAAAGAAAACTGCTAGAAAAAACCGTTAGTGAAGTTACGGTAAGTTCATGAATTCAATCCTTCTTGCTCTGGTAGTTCTTCTCGGGCGGTACTCTTGCTCTTCCTGGCTCGAAGAAACTCCTTATTTTCCGGCTAGGATGCGGATGAGGAATCAAACTCCTGTTGCTGTTACGGCTAGTGCGATAAGCTCGTAGGTCAGTGGTTCAATCTATACTTTCCGTAAGCGGTTTAAGTAAGAAAAGGAAAGAGAGCCAGCTAGCCAAGTTGCTGTTCTCTAGTAGTGGTATCGTCTATCTCTGCTTTCTCTCGTACTATCGCTTTCGGCTTTTAGCTGTCGGGAAAGCAGCTCATGAATGAATTCCTTCAGTCCGGCAAGTGGCTTTGCTTAGAGAGTCTGTACTTTAAGTTCCAGCTGTAAGTGGTCGTAGAGACACTTGAGGGGCATCAAGATGAGATGACCGAAGTAATCAAGGATTTGGAGAGCGACATGGCGAGCACAGCGGAGGTGCTCAAGGCCCAAACGGCCGAGGTAGTGGCTACCATGACTGCCGAAATTTCGGAGCAACAAGCAAAGATCGTTGTGCTAGAGAAGGCGGTGGCCAATAATGGGCCGGCACCAAGGGAGGTGCCAAAAGTGAAGATCCGCGAGCCCAAATGCTACAACGGTGCAAGGGACGCTAAGGAGTTAGACAACTTCTTGTGGCAGGTGGAGCAATACTTCAAATAAAGTTGGAAGATGAGAATGCTAAGATAGATCAACACTGCCACCATGTACTTTTCGGACGATGCCATGCTTTTTCGCGTACGGCGATATTGAGAGGAATCTCTGCACCATTGCCACTTGGGAGGACTAGCGGGCGGGGCTGGCGGGAGTTGATTAGGCGAGTGTTGTTGCGGAGGGGGTAGGGTGTATGTCGGTATTGTAGTGGCCATGACATTCCTTGGTGCAGCATAACTTGGATTGGCGGGGTAGGACGCCCGCGATGGTCGATACCCTTGTGGGGTAGAACTAGAATAGCTTGCAGAGGCAATGACATGAACGTCCCCATCCGTCTTTTGACCAGCACTAGCACTTTTCTTGCCATAGCTTGCTAATGGAGCTGGCTCGGATAGCAACCCTTTTTTTATACATTGCTCCACCCTTTCTCCGATAGTTACCAGGTCAGCGAAATTGGTGGTCGCACTTCCCACAAAGAACCCAAGGTACGGAGGTTTCAAGGTATCTATGAAGAAGGAAGCCATTTCTTTTTCCGGGGATGAATTTGCGAAGCCAGTACTCGCCCTGAGCGTATTCCTTGAACGTTTCGCTGTTCTTCTTCTCCATGTTCCGCAAATCTGTGCGATCCGGAGCCTGTGCTATATTGAAGCTATACTGATCCAAAAACGCCTCTGCCAGGTCTTTCCAAGTTTTGACTGTTTCCTTGTTTTGACGTCCGTACCAATCAGCAGAAGCCCCTATCAGCCTTTTCTGGAAAGGGGCTTGGCTGATAGGGGCTTGGAACAGATTAATAAAATAATTAGAGCTTATCGTCATGAGCAACCTCAGCCATCTTGTGCACATACTTTACCAGGTGAGCTCGAGGGCACGAGGTCCCATTATACTTTGAAAAGTCTGGTACCCTGAAATCCTTAGATACAACCAAATCCGGTACCAGACAAATCTCAGTAGGTAAAACAGGGCCTAAATGCTTCGCCCCCTCAATGGTTCGGAGCCGATCCTCCAAGTCTGAAATCTTTCGGTCTCTTGATTCATCCATTATTTGTGGTCAGACCAATATTTGCATAATCAAGGCTTTTCCCCTCTACTCGAACTAATCTATACGTTCTTTGGACAAGCTGCGCCAAATCCTCTGTTCACTTTAGGATTGAGACTGCGATCTCCGACGGAACTACTCCTGAGTTGGTTGCCAATATACCAATCGATTTCTAAGACCGGGCTTTTGCTTTCCTTTTCACTAAGCCTCCTAGCTTAAGTAAAGAGTGATCGAAACATCTCCTTCAATACCTAGGTCGCAAGAGTCCTCCATTCATCCGTTTTCTCTTTCGAACCCACCTAGGATGAAGGGGCGGTGCTTCCTCTCCTCTCTCAGCCTTAGTAGCCCGTCTGTGGTACTAATTCCTCTCTAGGTCTCTGCTTTATGGTTGTTAGTTCAAGTAGGGCAAGCATTCCAGCTTGCCAAAGCAGCATCTCATCGAAACATGACTGGCAACAACAATCTATTCGATTCTAGTACCAGTCTCAGTTCAATCCAATCAGTGGGATTAGAGAGCAAGCTTGGGGGCAAAGGCAATAACATCCGAAGCAAGCCCTAGAAAGAAACCCATCACCAAGAGGAATTCTTTGATGGCCATGAAACTTGACATCGAGGTCTGTCGACTGCTCGATGGCTGGTAAATCAGGCTAGCTAGTCCGGACGCTCGCTACGGGTAGCTCCCTGCCGGTTCCTTCGAGAGGGCCGGATCGCCTGGGACGCGGATTATTGCTATCCGCCGTGGACTAGCATGTTTCCAAGGTACGACTGGGTCGTTACGCCGTTTGAATCGAAGTGAAGAAGCGATCCCCTTGGTACGACTGCTTGCTACACGCCCTGTATTTTGAAGCTCCGGCGATCGGGGAGCTAGTCTTTCGGTGCCCGGGGCCTTTCAAGAACAGTAAAATCGGAATAAAGTAGCGCTCGCCGCAAAGCGCTGCTCTCTGGATGGAGCTGTTCTCTACCAAATGCATAGCTCCGGTAAAGGAAAAAGATGTATTTCTTTATCCTTTTCCCGCCCGAGGCTGCTACGCTGGTGCTGCCAGCTTTTCTTCTCATTTGAATTTGAGAGTGAGAGGCTTCCCTTCCGCAATTTTGAAACCTATATGCTAGACTGCGGACCAGCTCGATTCTCCTTCGGACCCTATTCTACTAGGATGGGAATGCCCTTTCCATTTCTCTACCTCGGTTCTTTTCTTTCTCTTCTTCTCCACTGGCACGACTACTTGTCATTGACAAATGGGTCCTCAAATCTCATTCCTGGTTGAGAAGGTGCTATGCCCAAAGACAGAACCTAAACCGAAATGGCTAATCGCATGCCAAGGGTCAGATAAATCCTATTTAAGCTGCAAACTAGCTTCGGCCT